ATCTTTGACCGATTTTCAACAAACATAGCTAAGAACACCTTTCAAACAAAAAAAACAATATCAAAATCGATTTATCCATTCGAGAGCTACGCTGCCATACACAGACGCACAGACACGTCAAACTTATAACACCCAGTCGTTTTTGCGTCGCGGATTAATAAAAAGGCCTAAGGTGTTGTTTTTAAATCTAAATACGAAAAAGATAATAATCTTGCGGAAAATGTTGACTATACGTCATTACAGGATATATATTTAGATATTCCATCAAAAGATTAAAGAGACTGATAAGCTCGTTATTTAGAAATTAGTAGAACCAAACTACTCTATGTAACAAATTAAGAACGATCGTTTCTTGATATAAAAGTTATTAGTTGCTACACTTTATCCAAGAGCGCTCCCGAAGTATCCATCAATCACTAGCCGCCATTTGCAATCACATTTATCGACATGGTATTAGTTCGAACTAAAATACGTATTTTTAAAGAAAATGAAGATAAATTATCGACACGTGTCTCATTGGTTTTCCCTATTAGGGGCAAGGTCACAGATTCAAATATTAAAGAAAGTAGCTATATCTACGTCATAGATAACCAATTCGAAGCACGTTTTGCACCAGTAATTTAGTTTTAATCTATACGGCAGTTGAAAAGAAATTATAGTAATAAAAATCTCTATTAACATATTTTTTTTTAAAATACAGAGTTAAGAATATAATGAAATGTCACTAAAACATTATATGACGACACGTTTGGCTCAGTTTGTAGTGACCATACTTGCTGTGCTAGCGATCGCGGATTCGAGTCTCGCCGGGGGCATTTATATGTGTGATGAGCACGAATGTTTGTACTCCAGTCATGGGTGTTTATATTTATATTATATACGTATTTAAAGTTATATATGTGTAGTGTATCAACTGTCTGGTATCCATAACACAAGCCTCGTAGCTTACCATGGAACTAGATAGTGCTGTGTGTTCATGTTTGTTCTCCCTATCAACTTTCTAAGGGAATCAATGTGAAGTTTAGCTAAAAGGTTTCATATTATAATTTATACTACCTATTAAGTATGGACCAAACAGTTGTTGGTCACGGTCCGATAGAAAAATGCAATCTTAAATAAACATCATATTAAACAGTATTTTTAACAATTTAAACGGACAGAATAGAAATAAATTAGTCCCTATGCTTTCTACGACATCGACAAAAAGAAAATATTATATTCAAGTAATACGATTTTACTGCTTTTTTATCTATACATATAATAAATTTCTAACCATGTCAAATCTGTACATTACATATTTTTTGGAAAATTATATTGAAATAGTCATTATTATCGATACAGAGGTCGAATCTATAGTTTTTTAATTTTTGCATCACGAGAAAACTACTGGACAGATTTTGATGAAATTTGGTATGATGATAGCTGATTATCCGGGTCAACATATAGAATACTTTTAACACTAAAATGTTGTTACGTTAAAACGTAACCAGGGACGAACCCGAGCGGAGCAAGGGTGAGTCGCTAGTAATAGATAAAAAAGTAATATTATAACTATTTCTTCAATACAAACTGTAATTTCAATTATTTTATGGATTTTTGATTTCAGAATCACAAAGAAACATTGTAACGAAGGCAGGAAATTCTCAGAGGAAATTCTAAGACAGTCTGTCATATTCTGCTTTAACAGAACAACTACTGCCTTTGATATTTCCATACTGATATACCCAATTTAAACTTTATTAGCGTTAGTTCTGTTATTCTCACTTTGAAATGCGGTTTTATTTATCAAAGCCTTTTGAAATCTATATTTATTTTATCACAAGTAAGTCCAACGGGATTTTCTATCTGCAATATAAACAAAGGCCTAAACGTCAATTTCCATATTTCTAACTTCAAAAATGACAACCATTCAAACAATCCATACAAACTTTATTAAATAAAATAAATAAATATGTTGGGACATTAACACACAGCACTATTCAGTTCCATGGTAAGCTACGAGGCCTGTGTTTTGGATACCAGATAGTTGACACTACACGTATATAACTTTAAGCACATACATATGTTAGGATTACTAATTTATATACCGAATTTATACTCTGTGATTATAAAATGTATTTTCTGAATGTCAGTTGACACTTGTCAATATTTTAAAAAAGTAGGTCAACCCTACTTTTCGTTATGAACTTTGTTAGAATATTTAGTTTAGTTTTGATTCATATTTGGTGGAAAGCAGTACAATATATACATTAATTACGAGAATAACGATGTTTTATTGGCCATCCCGTCATCTCAGAAGTGGGATGTACGGTGTTATTTCTACAACACATATCGGCTAACGACATTTTACATCGATATGAATATGAGTACATCAAAAAGTCCTCATCATAGTGAAACTGTAAGGCTTGAAAGTGGTACACCTACATTACCGAGGGACAAGCAAACGAACGACGTGACTCGATTACAATGTGAAGATGCTCGCGGAATTCATAGAAGTCGGGCGCGGCATCTACGACGACGTGAACGTAGTAGCAGTTCAAGCAGTTCAAGTTGTCGGAGTAATACGCGGGCTAACATGCGTAAACGACGAATTTCTGGAAGCCGTTCCAAGAGGCGAAAGGCAAGAAGACGTCGACACAGCAGCAGTGGCAGCCGAGGTTCAGCAGCCTCGCGGATTCGATCTCGAAGACGACGACAGAATACTGAAGTGGATAGTCAACAGGACCAGAGAAAGAGGGTACGTACTTCTGTTGATAATAGTTTGTATGATACTCATTTACTCATTCGGGAAATGTTACAAACAATGAACAATAGTCAAAGTCGAACCGAAAAATTTCCAGTCCTAGGCAATGTTATACCCGAATTCGACCCAATGTCGAAAGATCAAACAGTGCATATGTGGATTAGTAAAGTAGAGGAGTGTTCAAGTGTTCACAGATATATGGTTGGTCAGATAGGCAGATTATTCATTATGCTTTGCCAAAATTAGCTGGGTTAGCGAAGTCATGGTACGAGGGATTACCCTCCTTATTATTTAGTTGGACTGAGTGGAAAGATAAATTATTAGAATCTTTTCCTAGTAGAGATGACTATGCAGAATTGCTTACAGAAATGTTATCAGTAAAAGCTAAAATAGGTGACTCATTAGAACATTATTATTACGCTAAAATAAAATTATTAAATCGCCTTGAAATTTTCCATAAACGTGCGGTAGATTGTTTGTTATATGGATTAGATGATAGGTCAGTCAGGTTAGGTGCAAAGGCTGCTAGTTTTACTGAACCTGAACATGTATTAAAATATTTTAAATCTATTAAGCAACAGTTACGGGATACAGATAGAAGTAAAATTTCATTTGAAAAGAGAAACAATCAAAATACTATAAATAATAACATTAGCTCTAATAATAATAACAAACCAATACGTTCTCAAAATGATAACGCACAGATTATCTGTTACAATTGTAATGAACCCGGTCACTATAGCTATAGATGCACAAAACGTATTTTGCGATGTACAATATGTAATAGAATAGGTCACTTGGCGGCAACATGTCCGAAGTTAGCGTCAACAAGTAATGAAAAAACGGATAAAACTGTATTGAAAGTAAATAATGATTCGGATACAAATCAGAAATTTATTTTGGATGTAGAAATTAATGGTGTAACTATGCAAGGTTATATAGATTTAGGTAGTCAATGTACTTTGTTACGCCTTAACATTGCAATAAAACTAAACTTAAAATGGAAAGAAAGTAACTTACCTAATTTGAGAGGATTAGGCAATAACTTAGTTCTACCAATAGGATCAACTATAGTAAAAATTAAAATTCAAAATATTATTGAAACCGTAGAGGTTTTTATTGTTGCAGATCATGTAATTAGTTATCCCATATTAGTAGGCCACTCATTTACCGAAAAACCGGGAATCACTATTACTAAAACACCCTATGGTTTGATTTTTAGGCGATATCCTAATCAAAAGCTTTGTTTATTTTCGAACGATAAAGTCACGATACCTGCGAAAACCGTAGGAATCGTTAAAGTCACCTCAGATACTAATTATACAGGTTCTTTTTATGTTAATGGTACTATACGAGGAAAGCCTAAATATAATTTTTATTTAATGCCAGGTGAATACAATTTTGAAAATCAACAAAGTTCTATTTTAGTTTTAAATCTCTCTGATAATGAATTAAATATTAATAAGAATGTTTTAATTAATAGAGCTAAAATAATTGATAATGAAAAGACAGTTAATATTTTAAGTTCAGAAGATTTAAATACACTAAATGTAGGTAAAATTTTAAGTAATGAACAAATAGATAACTTAAAAAAATTACTTTACGAATTTAACACTTGTTTCTCGTCTGGTCTTAAAGACTTAGGATATACAGATATTGTTAAAATGGAAATAGAATTAACTGATTCTAAGCCTGTCGTTTATCGCCCGTATAGGTTACCATATGCAGATAGAGAACTAGTTAGGGTAATGGTCCAAGATATGTTAGATGCTGGGGTGATAAAAGAATCAAAATCCTCATACGCTAGTCCTATTGTTCTAGTAAAAAAGAAAACGGGAGATAAGAGATTGTGTATTGATTATCGTGCATTAAATAATAAAACTAAAAAAGAACACTATCCATTACCTCTCATAGATGATCAGCTAGATTTATTATCAGGTAATAGTTTATTTATTTCTCTAGATTTATTTTCGGGTTACTATCAAATAGCTATTTCGGAAGGCTCTCAGAATAAGACAGCATTTGTCACTCCGGATGGACAGTATGAATTTACAAGAATGCCATTCGGATTGGCAAATGCTCCATCTATATTTCAAAGGACAATGAATAAAATACTCGCAGAAGCTAAAATAAAATATGCTTTAATTTATATGGATGATGTTTTAATTCCAGCTAAGTCTTATTCTGAAGGAATAAGTAGGTTGCGCGAGGTTTTAAGTTTACTACAGAAGGGGGGGCTTACCTTAAAATTAAGCAAATGCCATTTTTTTATGATAAAATTGATTTCTTAGGGTTTGAAGTTAGTGCGAACGGTATAAGACCGGGCTATCAAAAAACATTAGCTATTTCAGAGTTTCCAAAACCAAAAAATATACATGATATTAGAAGATTTATCGGTTTGACAAGTTTTTTTAGAAGATTTATAAAAAATTTCGCGATTTTTGCTAGGCCGTTAACTGATTTACTAAAGAAAAATTTTTCATGGAATTGGACAGATCAACAAGAAAATTCATTTATTACATTAAAAAGTAAATTAGTGGAAAGACCTATATTGGCACTCTATGATCAAAAGCTTGAAACTGAATTGCATACAGATGCGTCTAAAATAGGTATAGCTGGAATCTTATTGCAAAAAGGGGCTGATAATTTGTTACGACCCGTTGCTTATTATAGTCGAAAAAATACTAGTGAAGAGCAAAGGATGCATTCATTCGAACAAGAGACACTTGCGGTAATATCTTCATTAAACAGATTTAGAGTATATTTATTAGGCATAAAATTTAAAATTGTAACAGACTGCAGTGCGCTGCGTACAACTTTTACAAAACGTGATCTTATTCCGCGTATAGCGAGGTGGTGGATTCAATTTCAAGAGTTTGATTGTGAAATTGAATATCGACCAGGGAATAAAATGGGCCATGTCGATGCGCTTAGTAGGGGTCCTGTTAATGATTCTAATCCGGATACTGACTTACAAATATTAGACGTATTAAATTTCACCACTGAAGATTGGATAGCTACTATACAGAATAATGATGAGGAAATTAAGAGAATAAAGGAAATACTGGAATCAAAAAAATACTAAAGATACCGTTGATATATATAATAATTATCAGTTGAAAGGGGGTAAGGTTTACAGAAACATAGATGGAGGTATTAGATGGGTTGTACCAAGGGGTGTTCGATGGCAAATTCTACGCATGAATCACGATGATATCGGTCACTTCGGATTCGAAAAAACTCTAGAACGCGTAAGATCTACATATTGGTTTCCTAAAATGAGAAAATTTATTAAGAAATATTGTAATTCATGCCTAGAATGTGCATATCATAAAGTTCCGGGAGGTAAGAAAGAAGGAATGTTATTTCCTATACCTAAGAAAGATATACCGTTCCATACAATACACGCTGATCATCTCGGTCCCTTCGTTCGTAGTCGAAGAGGAAACACCTTTATTCTAGTTATTATAGACGCATTTACTAAATATGTCAATTTAACGGCTGTAAAGAATACAAAAACGTCAAGTACAATCAATGTATTTAAAAATCATTTTAGCTACTTTGGAAATCCACAAAGACTTATTACAGATAGAGGTTCCTGTTTCACTAGCAATCAATTTAAATCCTTCGTTCAAGGCCGTGGTATAAAACACATCCTAAATTCAGTAGCAACCCCAAGGGCAAATGGTCAAGTTGAGCGGTTTAACAGGACCATTTCTGATGCGCTTAGTACAAAGTGTCATGGACTCAAAGATAACTTGTGGGATGAATGTTTGCAAGATATTCAGCTTGGGTTAAATACAACAATTCATAAAACTACACAAAAGAGTCCATCAGAACTATTGTTTGGGCATAAAATAATAGGTAGTGCAGAAAACATAATAAACGAAATATTTGATGATACAGAAGATCGATTAACTGAAAATGAACTTGTAGGTATTAGGAAAGACGCTAGTGATCGAATGAGAGATAATGAAATGGCGATGAAAAATAAATATGATAAAAATCGTAAAGCAGGTCATTCATACAAAATAGGTGATTTGGTTAGGATAGAACGTAATTACAATGAAAAGGATAGTGCAGGTAAACCAAAGAAATTATTACCAAAGTTGCAAGGACCATATAGAATTTGTAAAGTGTTACCTAACGATAGATATTTAATCGAAGACACACCATTAACTCGTAAAAATAATAAGCGATATGAAAATGTAGTTGCGTTAGATAAGATTCATCCATGGGTCAGTTTTCAAAGAGATATTTGTAGTTCACAAAGTGATGATGATAATAATGATTCAGAGTAATGAGTAACATACTAATTGTTTCAACAGTGAGTAATTTATGATTTGAAATGAGAAAATAGTCAGTGCTGAGACACAGATGATTACAGTAGCAGACTACAGCGTGGGCAACTTTGTTAGTGCTAAAGATTAGCACAGATAACTAAGTCGCAGACTGCGCAGATGTAGGCTACAGATGTATCAGTGTCATGATTAATTTTGCACAGATGACAGAGGGCAGACTGCGGCGGTGTAAGCTGAGCGGTGAGTGTTATTTAGCATGGATATCCCCAGCAGATTATACCGTTCGTAGGCCCGTGATACGGTCAGTGCAGAGAAAGAGATAGCACAGATGACTATAGAAATCTGATACCTGATAGAGGAATTTGAAATTTAATAATTAGTTAGGTGATATTAATTTTAATTATTATATTATAGTAATTAATGTATTTGGTCACATAGATGATTTGTATTTTTTGTGTATTGCTATTTATTAATGTTAAATTAATTAATATTAACTTAAAATGAATTTGTTAAGATTTATAAGATTATTCCTTTGATTTACTCTTATATTGTTGTTGAATTAGCTAATCGAGCACTTAAATATGTACATTTATGATTTTTTTTTCTCTTTTGTTTTATAGTTTTCATTGTTTTGCGAGAGGACTCGCCTTTGCTCAGGAAGGCCGAGCTGTTAGGATTACTAATTTATATACCGAATTTATACTCTGTGATTATAAAATGTATTTTCTGAATGTCAGTTGACACTTGTCAATATTTTAAAAAAGTAGGTCAACCCTACTTTTCGTTATGAACTTTGTTAGAATATTTAGTTTAGTTTTGATTCATATTTGGTGGAAAGCAGTACAATATATACATTAATTACGAGAATAACGATGTTTTATTGGCCATCCCGTCACATATTATAAATATAAACACCCATGACTGTAGTACAAATATTTGTGCCCATCACACAAATGATGCCTCCAGCGGGACTCGAACCCGCGACCGCTGGCACAGCAAGTAAGGTCACTGCGAACTGAGCCAAGTGTCGTCAAATTCCACTATTTTCCTCTATTTAATGAAATTTCTACTAACATGCATTGCTTTTATATTATTTTTCTAAATAAATGGATTTTGATGAAATTTTATTCCTAAATATCTTAAATCGAAATGTATGAAAATCTATGCAGAAATTTCTTCAATATAACAAAATTCTAATAAAAATTTAACAACCTTCCCATAGGAACTCTTTATTAGGGAATAAAACTAACTTTAACGTTAACGGGCTACAAAATATCAATTGGAAGTTTTAGAAAGTAATTAATATACAGATTCAAAGTCAGTGATATTTTGATCGTTTATTTTAGTATAATCAGAAATTGGTCTAAATTCAGCCATAAATCATGGCAATAATCATGAAAATGCATTATAATAAATGTGAATAATTAAGACGCTTGCTACACAAGTTCTTTATCTTTATAGGGTGTAAGAATCTGAGAGAGAAAGAATGAAAGACGCACCCGAGCTAAACGAGAGTAAGTCTAAAATAGGTAACATATATTTAGTTCTAAAGCATGGATAATCTTTATATATATAATTCTTCTGTGAGTGTGTATGTCACTGAACTTCTCTCAAACGACTGGACCGATTTTGATGAAATTTTTTGTGTGTGTTCAAGGGGATCTGGGAATGGTTTAGATTCACAATTTGAATAATAATTTTCATCAAAAAAATTATTAAAAAAAGTTTGAAATTTTCAAATTAAAGACGTGTAGACAGGACAACGTCTGTCGGGTCCGCTAGTCTATATATATTCTAGCTGAATCTGTACATCAAATAATTTTTGGAAAGTTTTATTGAAATAGTCCTTATTATCGATACACAGGCAGAATCTATAGTTTATAAAATATTTGTCTGTCTATCTGTCTGTCTGTCTGTCAGTGACCGCATCACGAGAAAACCACAGAACAAATGATGAAATTTGGTATGGTAATAGCTGGTTATCCGAGTCAACATATAGGATACTTTTTACTGCGGGAAAATATCTCATATATGAGAAATCTATACAAAACATCAAAACGTAACTAAACAAACCCGAGCGGAGCGAGGGTGAGTCACTAGTATTCAAAATAAAACAGTCAGACCCATTACGTTTTTGTCATATTCATTAAATGCGGGGAATTGCCGCGAGATACGATTCTTAACAACCTAATGAAATAATATCCCATCAAAAACATTCTGTAAAAATATTGCAAGTCTCGCAACGCATTTCTTCTACCTCAAAAAGCTATGAGATGTAATGTAAAACCAAGTCGGTTAATTTATTCATTACCTATCTATGGCAGCATCTATCCGACAACTTTGTCATAAATCGTTACCGAATTAGTTAAGTTACAACATTTTATAGTGACCGTATTAATATTAGATATATTTATTTCTTTAATTAATAGAATGACTTGGCCATCGCACATGATAATAGAATCAACAAATAACAAAATTTACCTAAAATTAGCGTTCTGAGTGCATTATTAATGTATAGATGCATAAATTTGACCCGCTAGTGCTATGTTCAGTTCATCTCAGCCCAAACACACACACAGCTTCATTTCTTGTGTGTCAGCTAAGGACTTTTTAAAAGCCCACTCCTTGTCTCTGTGGGCTTTTTTCAGAGGCTTTGATATAGGCAACAAATTTTGACAAGTCTGGATGATAAAAAATCTAAGTCTATTGTATTGGGAAATTACGGACTCCTGGACTTTGATACTACTATCTTATGCATTAAGAATAAATATGTATAGTTAATTTAACGAATATTTTAATTTCATTGTTGACCCTAAATACCTACCCCAAATCTGATATTACGACTTACATAAGTTTAATAAGACGTGTAGATTTATGTGTCTATCTGCAGCATCGTAGTTAAATCCCGAAAGTTGTATTCCATTCCATTTTAAAAGTAATTTTCGAAGAGATTGATATTTCATGACCTCTATATTCCATGTTCTAATAGGTGGGTACAATTACGAGCAATAAGATGTTGACAAGGTTTTCTAATTCATATCAACATCATACTTTGTAAAAGAAAATGTACGAGCTTTGTTTCAAAATTAAGTAATCGTCAAGTTGTTTCTTAATTAGGTATATATTTTAATCAATTCATTATAAATAACAGTAATCGAACATTAGTAGGTATAAACTATACACGCTTCACATTACATTTATGTACCCATTTGTATATGCATAAAAATGTATACAGCTACTGAAAAAGCTTAAATTATTATTTTCGCGTTTAAAAATACTTTTCTAATACATATAATTGCAAATATAAACATTAATAAATAGACCAATCGAAATTAGGTTAGTAATTACGAGGGAACATAGGATCGGACGTACAAACATACATACCTACAGGTAAAACACTAACCTAACCCCCTTTTACAGTGCAACTATTGTATAATTAATTTACCATTAATTATACATTTTATAAGAATAAGTATATGAATGAGGTGAAAAAAATAAAAGTAAGATATCGGGAAATGAAAAAATAATATTTAATTTAAATAATGTAAGGAAAAAATAGTGTAAATTTAATTAAAATATTTTATGATTTTTAAACGAAATTTATATTTGACATAACGGCACAAATTAAGGCAAGCTATGATGAAGTTTATTTATATTATGTGCTATTTTATTGTGACCTATTATTTAAAAAAATACCTAAACCTTCTAGCGTTCCTTGACGTCGTTAAAGTGGAGAAATTGACTAACAAATTAAATACTTAGTGATAACAAACGGAACCCTGAGAAAGATATATTTTAAGTTGGATATTTAAGTTAATAAAATAATATATGAGTTATTCCTGTGTTTTTTTAACATGACTAAACTAAATATTGATAAATACATATTGTATGTATTAGTCAAGTAGAAGACAAACTAACGCTCCGAGGGCTCTGTACTTTTTTTTTTATAGTTGGGAAATCCTATTACGGATACCACCCGAATTCCCCCGGGCGACTCTCGCTACGGAACACACGAGTGTTCGATTACTTGTATATATTTTTTTATATTTAAGATCTTTTATACATATAAGTTTTAATTTATATATTAAATATATTATTTCTTAAAACTCTTTACAATATTGATAATTACATTTTAGTCGTCGCTAACACTTACAGTATATCCACTATTTACCCTGCTATACATTTGGGTAGTTTAAGTGACGAAAAATGATATGTATGAACTGCAAAAATAACTTTGTAATCCCATATATCGCATATCTATTTGTATAGGAATACAAAGTTACTTATGCAGTTTGTATATCTCGAAAACAGGATTGAAATTGCATGATGTTTGAGTTTTTCCTTCCGTTATAGGCTAAACACTAATTGTGTTCAAAATTTGAAGCTCCTATGTCTGCTAGAAGTACCTTAGAATTTTGATGATCGGTGAGTGAGTGAGTGTGTGAGTGACGATATTAACGAATTTTGATCTGCAACAGTTCTTAAACTACAGGTTCAAATTGAATGTAATTTGGAAATATGCCTAGTTTTATTATGTTCTTTTAGTCACTGAAAATTCAGGCTTTTAGCTTTATCCATAACGAAGTTATGGGGGGGTGGAAAATGCTCTGAATCGCTTCGAGAAAAGGATGGTACTGTCGTGCCCTTTTTTGCTCGACTTGGCGGGGGCACTCCGTGCCCCCCGATTTCATACTTATCATATTGGAATTTTACATTGAAAGCGAGCTTTTAAAAAGCGAATTAAAAGTTTGTACAAACACTGTTTCATTTTTCAAGCTTTAAATCGATGATTTTTCTTACTCTAGTCTCCTTGTTTTGATAGATTTCTTCTTTAATAAGATTTTTTCAATTACAGGAGTTTTCAACTATACATTAGGTTGCACAAACATGTTGATGCCAATATTGGTACAAATAAAAATAAAATATAGTGTCTATTCGAACTAGAATTGGACGAATATTACATCAATTTTCATATGAATATTATATGAGATTTTTTATCAACTGTAAATTATTAATGGTATACTAATAAAGAAATATATATTGTTTTCTTTTTTATATCCGGTCGGATAACGTCATTTTCTTTTTTTTTACAAAGTACATACTAGTTTTATGTACGACGCGTTTGGCTCAGTTTGTATTGACCCTACTTGCTGTGCTAGCGGTCGCGGGTTCGATCTGCTGTTTGCATTCACCTGTGTGATGAGCACGAATGCTTGTACTCCAGTCATTGGTGTTTATATTTATAATACTCGTATATTATATACATTTAGAGTTATATATGTGCAGTGTATTAACTATCTGGTACCCATACACATATGGATACAATCATAACACAAGCCTCGTAGCTTACCATGGTACTAGATGGTTCTGTGTGTTAATATCCCAATGTTAGCCAAAAGCGTACTTTTAGTATTTTAAAACTATAGTTCTATCATTTTATTTTTAAAATATGGAATATTTAAATATGGAATTCTACATAAATATTAAAATTTTAACAAACATATTTTTATTATTTATATAGTGATTAATTCAATATGCAACTCAGCTGTAAATGGAAAACCAAACTAACAACAGGTGAAAATTTAATATCAATTTATTTTCAACCACACTAACCAATTAAAAATCGAACGAAAAATCATTTTTTCACTTGGTTAAAAAGAACATATAAAAGCCAACATGACACCGTCAAGTGCACTTTAAAAATAGTCCGGCATCCCGCAAAAAATATTATATTGGAAAATTTAGTTCACTTAAAGTGGAATACTCTAGTGGCAAAGTCGTTTGAAGTAAGATGTCGCCCTAAGTCTTATCTATACATATAATAAAATTCTAACTAAGCCGAATCTGTACATTAAATATTTTTTGTAAAAACTTATTGAAATAGACATTATTATCGATACAGAGGCCGAATCTATAGTTTTTAGAGTTTTTGTCTGTCTGTCTGTTACCGCATCACGTAAAAACCACTGGAGGGATTTTGATAAAACTTGGTATGATGATAGCTGGTTATCCGGGTCAACATATAGGATACTTTTTACCGCGGGAAAATATCTTATTTCTGAGAAAAAAATACAAAAACTGCAATGTTAGAGTATACTAATATGTAAAACCTAAGAATTTGGTTTTTAGTCATCTGAATACAAAAATGTATGTGTAACGATCAACTTATTTGCTCAAAACTACTTTATAATATAATATTTTATAGCGTTGCATCAAATAATTTAGTCCGTAAGTGGACTTAACATATCTATCAAATTTGTAAGATTCTGTAAGATATACAAGTACAGTTGACCTCGCTATGTTTCATAGAATAATAAGCTATATAATATAATTTTCATGTATTGTAATTACGTAGACGTTGCTTTGTATGAACATTCCAGTGGTACATCATCCGAATTCGAACCCACTTCACTTGATTTTTCACGCGGGTATTACCTATTTTGTCCACTGGTCCATAAAAATTCATAATATAATTAAATATTTTTTAAGGTTCCACTTATGTTCACGCCGACTAAGTGCGGGTTGGCAGACTTCACATGTCTTTCGAAAACTTGATAGGTTCTCTCACCAGTGTAAGTTTTCTCATGATGTTTTTTCTTTACCGTAAGACAAGTGGTAATCATGTTGAAAATGATTCAAATATGAAAAAATCATAAGTGCGAGACCCGGAAATCGAACCTGCTTCACTCGGTTTCCCAAGCAAGCGCGTTACCACGGGGCAACCCCTAACTTTTATCAAGTCAGAAAACTACATTTACCTATAGTAATAACGTTTTGCATTCGCGTTTGTGCATTATGACAATTTTTTAAGGAATCTAAAAGTTTTCTCTTGAAATTTTAGAATTGGAGCATGTTCTTCAAATCAATTCAATTTTCTTATTAAGTGAGGAGCATGCCCTTAAAAGGGAAGTGATTTTAAATCAATCAATTTATTTCATTTTAAGTCCGTTAAGTTACTCAATTTATTGGACTTCAAAAATACATTTTTATATGTTTTTATATTGTATATGATCATTTTTATAGATAAATAAATAAATAAATATGTTGGGACATTAACACGCAGCACCATCTAGTTAAATGGTAAGCTGCGAAACCTGTGTTATGGATATAACGACACTGTCGTAGAACAATGTCAGATATGATATTACAACGAAATTGACTTTTTTGCAAAATTAGCTTTAATTAATAATAAACTATTGATATATTCAAGAAAAATTAAAATATTCCTAGTACTTTCGGAAATATTCAATTGAACAAAGTATTATTTCAAAATTGTTTCCAAGAAAATCGTCGCGAGTTCAGTAGCGCCACTGTCGCTCGACTGTCATCGCTCCGCGTGCGCCGCACTCCGTGCGACGATCTTCACTAGTTGCGATGTTCGACGGCAAACCGGTCTTATTAACAACAATACATGATAGATTCTACATTGGCGTATTATTACAATATTTTTGTTAATTTTTAAAGATTTTAATACAAAAACGACCTAAAAATGTCTCGGTCACAAAAAATATTAAAGTTAGTGATAGATAAAGAAGAAATAAGTGACTATTTCGCCGTGCAGGACTCCAGAATTTCAAATAATGTAAACGAAAATACGGACAATCAAGGTAAGTTATTTTTATCAACATTTACTAAGTGTCTTTTATTATTTTTTCATACTAAAAACCGATTGGCTAACATTTTATATAGAATTATTCAATTTCCGTGTCGTATCTTAACAAACAACATTGTTCTATGGAAATGAAAAAAATTAAATTTATTTAATAAAAAATATATTTTGAGCATGTTTTCTTTATGTACTCTATTTATATTATTTATTTACCTAAGATATGGTATTTGACGTTTTTGGCGTCGTATGTTTCCTAGTTTCGTTTTTCACCCAAACTTATTTCAATTATACAGATTGTTTGAATACTTCCGGCGTTGTTCTTCGGAAACTTTATACATTTTTGATGTAGCGTATTGAGAACCAACTATGTTCTTCGGCATAAAATTATATAGGTTTTTGTTCAGTATGTTTGAATGCTAAATATAGATATATAAATGACTAGATCTTTTTATTTGAGACTTTTTTGTCTCAGTTAGACATATCTTTAAATATTTTACTATGTTACAGGCCTTGGAGTTGTAAAACCAGAATCACCATTACCCCCTGGAGCGGAAATTATAGTCGACCAATTAAGGGAAGTAGCGCAAGAAGTATTTGCAGATGGCGATGAAGATCAAAATTTAGTTGAAGACTTAACACCATTTGGTATAGAAGATGCCAACACCAGTTTTGAGGCTTCTCCTCCTGTGGTCATCGAAGAATTTGAGAACATTGTTGCCAGTACACCTAAATCACCCTTAACAATTCCTACTCCCATGCCTTCACCGACTAATAGTCACAAGACATGTAATGACCTATTTTGTGCTTTACACGATCACTGGACAGACGCAGTACCATCTTCACCAAGTACTGTAAGTGGACTAAGTTCTTTTTCTGAATCAGATACCAATTCAGTACTATCTCCAGGACGAAAAAAACGTACAAAAAATAGAGAATCATGGTCTGATGTAAAAAGGAAATGCTTAACGAATTTGGGTAAAAAATATGTTTCAAAGAGGGGTAAAGTTGTTGATGAAAAGGTTATGGGTATGCCTTGTAAATGTCGTTACAAATGTAGTGAGAAAATTACTAATGAACAAAGACTAAATTGTTTTAAAAGATTTTGGAGTCTTGGTAACAAAGAAAAACAGTGGGGATTTGTAGTTAAATTTTGTTTAAAAGTAAAGAAGCATCGATGTCTTAACACCGATCAACCTAATTTACGTAAATATACTTATAAGTACAGCTTACCAATAGCCTCTTCTTTGGACCCTTCTGCATCTGACGTGATCGCAGTTTGCAAAACTATGTTTTTAAATACTTTGGCTGTAAGTGAAAGAATTGTTCAAACAGCTTTCCAAAAATTTGATGGCGTCTCTGATATATACATGGACAGAAGAGGACGTCATGCTAATCGTAAAATAGTAATAGATAGAGAAATGAAAAGAAGTGTCTGTGACCACGTCAATTCTTTTGTCCCAATAGAGTCTCATTACGTTAGGCAGAAATCGAACAAGCTATACTTGGACGGTAATCTTAGTATTGGGCGTATGTTTTTATTATACAAAGAATGGTTTAATCCTACAAAATATGTTAAGAGGGCTTCAACCGAACGTCAATATAGAGATATTGTTTCCAAATACTTTAATTTAGGATTTTATACCCCCAAAAAAGATGCGTGTGACACTTGTCACATATACGGCAGTAAAAATAATCATACAGAAGACGAGATTGTATTGTATCAAAAACACATTCGTAACAAAAAAATAGCTCGTAAATTAAAAAATGACGACAAGAATGCAGCAATTAACTCTGGTGGTAAAATAATAACAGCAGTCTTTGACTTCCAGAAGGTTCTAACTTGTCCTCTGGGTCAAATTAGTATATTTTATTACAAAAGAAAACTATCATGTTTTAACTTTACTGTATTTGATATGGGTCACAAACAGGCCATATGTTACATGTGGAATGAAACTATTTCAAAAAGGGGAGCTAACGAAGTCAGTAGTTGTTTATTGGATTTTGTAAAGGAAAAAGCTCATGCTGGTGTTGATGAGATCAGATTCTGGTCGGATAATTGCGCCGGGCAGAATCGAAACCGAATCGTTTATTATTTTTACACGTATGCTGCAAAAAAGTATGGTATTACAATAACACATAGGTTTTTAGAGAAAGGACACACCCAAAATGAGGGGGATAGTGTCCATGCCCTCATAGAACGTGCGTCTAAGTCTCGGATAGTTTACACTCCAGATGAATGGCGTGCACTTGTGAGGTGGGCAAAAACCGATGGTAATCCCTATATAGTTAAAAATATGGAGCAAAAGGATTTTTTAAACTTCAAAATTAAGGTTAATAACAAATTATGGCTTAAAAATTGCAAGAATGAAAAAATTCTATGGAATCAGGTAAAGGAAGTCCATGTCAATAAAAAAGATCCCAATAAATTATATTATAAATATGATCTCAATGAAAGTGGTTATAATTGTCTGGTCATAGGATCTAGAACCAGAAATTCATCATCAGCTCTACCTGATTTAACTCCTATTTCTAACAGCTTGTATAAAATATCGAAAGATAAATATAATGATCTTGTTCACATGTGCCAAACCGGTGTAATAATTTCTGAACATAGCATTTATTTCAAATCTCTACCATTTGAAAATAATCATGGTTCTAATAATAATGACAGTAATACAGATGATGAGTGATTTTTTTTATATTGTTAATTTCATGACGTTTCATTTTGATAGTTTTGTTTTTGATTTTGTATAGGATTTAAACAGGTCTGAGACAATTTTGGAGAGAAGTATTTTTTGCTATTACTAGTTTTGGAAATATTTATTTTATTTTTTATTGTGAAGTGAATATTAAGTACCTGCTCAATCATGTTCCTAGTACAAACATTAAGTTATATTTAATATTTATTATATATTATTATTATATATTTAATATTTATTATATATATAATAGACTAACTCATATCTGTTGTATAGATAAATAAATATTATTTCTGAGATCTCATGTTTGTTAAAGATTTTTAGTTATTCTAGTTTTGTGATTTGACTGATTTATTTTTTTACCTATTAAGACTGATCATAAACGGGTCGCACAATTAGTATTAAGAGTTTAACTACCAAATGTCAAGATTTTAAATTAGATTTATTCCTGGCTTGTGCAATTTTTAAATGGTATTTTAGTTAAGAAATCGTTGATTATATTTTTCATTTCTTTAATTATATAAATATACCTTGTGTTTAATCAATAAAAACTTTTTTTTAAGAACCTACGCAATTTTTAATTTATCTAGAATAACATACGACATCAATATCCCTTTTGTATTCCACAGAACAGCATGACATGTATATATATGTGGTACAACTTTCCATCGAACAACGTCGGAAAGTCACAACATACGTCCTAAGTTACGTAATATAACGTCGGATTATAATATACGAACGTATTTTTTTTATTTTATTAATAAAATGTTCTTATTATTATCTAGTAATAACCCTTAATAAAAGACAAAAAGCTATTTATAAATATTTTTTCAATTAATTAACTAGGAGAAAAGTTATACTAAAAAATGTGACTACAAAACTTTAAACTGCTCTCCTGTAAAGTAGATATTTTGTAGATCCGATTTTGTTCTACGACAGTGTCGATAAAATAGTTGATGTACATTTATTACTTATTATGTTAAATACATACATGTTATAAATATAAATACTCATGACTGGAGCACAAACATTCGTGCATAAATGAATGTCCGCATCGGGACTCGAATCCGCGACCGCTGGCACAGCAAGTACTACACTACAAACTGAGCCAGACGTGTCGTCACTATCTACTGACATAATATACAGATCACTATAATTACTGGCTTTTCGCCATATACATAGAATCGATGAAGATGAAGATATCGCCTAATATTCACGCAAAAACTACAGCCTAATCATTAATTACTTTCCCTTTTGTGAAGTTTGTTAACAAAATAATTTGATAACATAATAAATATTATTATAATAATACTTTTAAATTATTTATCGACTATACGTATTCAAACAAATCTATAGATAAATAGGCAAAGGCAAAACGGTTCAGTGAGATTTCCTTTTTTTTCTTTAGTTGACGAGTTTTAAGTGTTAATAACAAAATAAAAATATTTAAATGTTTTAATTTCGAGCACTGGGCGAACACTAGTTACACAATTACACGTAATTGATATAAAAATCGATAAATAATGATATTGTCATAATTTAGAAAGGACTAATTAAAAAATAATAGGCAAAAATAATAGGCTAAAATAAATAATACGCAATAGTAGCCCAGTGGTAGCACGCTCGCTTTGAAAACTGAGTAAAACGAGTTCAAATCCCGGGTGGCGCACTTAACGGTAAAGGAAAACTTCGTGAGGAAACCTGCATGTCTGAGAGAGCCTAGCAAGTTTTCAAAAGATATGTGAAGTCCGTTAACCCGCACGTAGCCAGCGTGGTGGACTATGGCCTGATCCCCCTCGTACTGAAGGGAGACTCACGCCCAGCAGTGGGACGTTAAAAAGGGCTGAATACAAAATAAATAATACATAAATATCTTGCGTTGAATATCGATTATATTAGTACGTATTCATTATCCATATCGATATTTAGTAAATTTCATAAATTTTAAAGCCAAACTAAACTAGCAATTCATAAATTGCCTCTTGCATGTGTAGTTAACCTGAATAATATAATAATTTAAAGCGACAATAGATTGGATGCGGTTTCGTTTGAATTTGGATAGCATTTACAGTATTGGTATCCGCAAATGAGCGTGACATTATAGGCTGGTGTAAAGTTATGTTAGCAACCTAAACTTAACAACCTGTTATGAAGCTACAGAAGGTCCTGGGTTCGAGTTTCAAATCAGGATAAAGGAGTTACTATATTTTTGGACTTTCTCGCGGTTTCACTTTCATTTTGGTCTTCCGACATTTTGAATTTTTTACAGCAAATATGCTTACGGGAAAAATTAAGATTTTTGGCTTCCCAAAACTTGTTATATAGTTATTATAGAAGACGTCTATTTACAAAATTATACGTTATGACACGAATATGGAAAACCTTACAATATATTTGGATTTCGAAGTTATTTTCTCCATCGAGAAGTTCTTAGTTAATCCCCATATCTTGGAGAGAAAACAAGTTATTCATTTTGGCTTAACCTTTTACTAGTTGTGTCGTATTACTATACCATTGCAGAGAAATAAAAAAGGGTTACTACAGCGAATCGTTAATTATTAAATGGATTATACCGTTAGGACCATTTCTTGATCTGGATTACATGGCGTGTTTATTGCTTCCTTTACCACGCTATACTTACCTGTTGCAAAGTGGCGTGAAGGCGGACTAGAAATATATAACTAGTGTTTGACCAAAAGTTTCGACCACAATCTTTATTGAAAATATAAAACAATAATACTAAAACTTTTGTCTTTTCCTATGTATATAAAAAAAAACTAGATAGGCTCAATTTTTTTATAACACAAAAGCTCGTCAATAACTATTGAATTAAAAAAAAAAGAAAATCGGTTGACAAACAGAGGATACAAAGGTACTGTTTGTCTTTGCCTATTTATACGTATGTATATTTATATATATATATATATATATATATATATATATATATATATATATATACTAGCTGACTCAGCAGACGTTGCCCTGTTCCAATTTCGATAAAATTTATGATCTTTGAAGTCATACAAAACTTGTAAAGAAAACAACACTTTCAGTTTCTTAATTTTCCGGGGAAACTTTCCCATATATTTTTTTCTCAAAAACCTTTTTCTGGCTTTCATCACGGATGTTTTAGCATAAAAATTATTACAGTCCAGCCATTCTTAAATTATGCGCTTACCAACGGACATCACAAACCTCGACCATTTTTATTCTAAAAAGAGATTTTAACAGCAAAATATATTACAATATGTGTATTAAACAATGCTGTTTCCAGGTGATAGTAAATGACGAATCACTCCCAATTCCAAATGGAATGTCATACAGTATACGAACGACGAATTGCCGATACTTCATGTACTACGTACGTATACCAAAACTAGATTTTCTGTGCAGTTTCGTATGCGTTATTTGTGTTTCCGGAAACAATATTTTTCCAGGATTAATTCAAAATGAAAAGTCACCTATTTTAGATACCATCCCTCTATTTACTGAATTCCATTTCTTTTTGTTCATGTCACATGTTTGTCTTACTTCTACACTATTTGAAATTTATTATAATCTACGCTACTATTATAAGGAGAAAAGATTTGTATTTTTGTATGTTTGTAACGAATAAACTCAAAAACTACTGGTAGGATTTAGATAAGATTTGAAAAGAAGATAGTTTGAGACCCTGGGTAGGACATAGGATATTTTTAAATT